CAGATAGTCAATCATTATTGTCCTTATTTTTCCAGTTTGTATTGAACTTGCCAGGTTGGCCAATGCGTCGGCATGGCTGTTATCATCTCGGCTAACCTGAAGAAGTCGAGAGTTATGAAACAAGGCTGCCAGCCTGATGACCTCTTTCGCGTATGCCGACATTCTTTTATCTCGGGCTGCAAACTCTCATGTTGTTTGATTCACTATAAGTTGTGAGTCACAAAAAACTATTACCTCATCTGCTTCTGCTGCTACTGCCAGCTTCAGTCCTGCAATCAATGCTTCATATTCTGCCTCATTGTTTGAGGCCTTGAACCCCAATCGAATGGACTGTTCTAATATCTCTCTATCTGGAGATATCAATACTACTCTTGCCCTCGCTCTCTGTCGGTTTGAGCTCCTATCAACGAACAGCCGAAAGGAGTCGCCGATGTAAATGCTGCAGGGTCTGAGTTTTTCTTCTTTCCTTCGTTCTCTTGCCTTCGACTGTGCTTCATTTTTTTTGTTCGGTATCGCTCATCTCAGCTCAACGGAGCCCAGTGTACGATGGATTCCAGCGTGAATTTGGCCACGAAGTCGGCCAAAACTTGGCCTTTGATTGCTGTTCTCAGCCTGAACTCCAGGTGATACTGGTCCAAGGCCACTACCCATCTGGTAATTCTTCCTGTTAAGTCTCCTTGTTGCAACAAGGACTTCAGTGGGTGTTCTGTTAGTACCACAATCTTGTGGGCCTGAAAGTAATGGTTCAACCTTTTTGAAGCCATTACTAAGGCCAGCATCAATTTTTCTAATGGTAAATACCTTGTTTCTGCATCGGCCAGGGTTTTACTTACATAGTAAACAACCTTTTATTCCCCTTTTTCTTCTCGGACTACCACTGCGCTTATCGCATGTTTTGAAACTGCTAAGTATAAAAACAACTCTTCTTCCGGTTCTGGATTCGAAAGGACTGGGGCTGTGGTCAGGTACTTCTTCAGATCGGCTAATGCTTCTTCGCACTCCTCTGTCCAAAGAAAGTCCGTGGCTTTCTTCACCAAGTTGAAGAAATGTTTGCACTTGTCTGAGCTTTTGCTTATGAACCCGTTCAGGGCTGCGGCCCTTCCAGTTAGCATCTGCACCTGTTTTGCCGATGTCGGGCTCTTCAACTCTAGGATGGCCTTGATCTGATCTGGGCTAGCCTCGATTCCCTTTCTGGTCACTAGGTATCCTAAAAACTTACCAGATCCAAGTCTAAATGCACACTTCGATGCATTGAGTCAGAGCCGATATATTTTAAGGATTTTGAAAACTGCTGTTAGATCGGCGAGATGACCCTTAGGCTCCTTGGTCTTAATGACCATGTCGTCGATGTAGACTTCTACTGTTCGGCCAATCAGGTGTTTGAACATTTTGGTTACCAACCTTTGGTAAGTTGCTCTTGCGTTTTTCAACCCGAAAGGCATTACTCTGTAGCAGTACAGGCCTTTTGGGGTGATGAACGCGATCTTCTCTTTGTCTAGGGGGTACATGGCTATCTGGTGGTATCCCTTGTAGGCATCTAGGAAGCTCATTCTTCCATGCCCGGAAGTGGCATCTACTAGCTGGTCAATCTTGGGTAGAGGAAAGATGTCTTTAGGACAGGCTTTGTTGAGGCTGGTAAAGTCTACGCAGACCCTCCATTTACCGTTCTTCTTCTTTACCACCACTGTATTGGATAGCCATGTCGGGTAGTGAACTTCTCTGATGGCCCTGGCCTCTAGAAGTCTGTCAACTTCTTCTTCCACTGCTTTGACGTGCATCAACGCCGGTTTTCTTGCTCATTGGACTACAGGTTTGGCCGACCTGTCAATGTTCAGTTTGTGGCAGGTGACCTCGGGGTTAATGCCAGGCATTTCGTAAGGTGTCCATGCGAACACCTCAATGTTTGCTCTCAAAAAAGCTTCCAACTCTCTTTCTTCTTCTTCGGCTAAGCCCGAGTCGAGAAGAAAAAAGTGTTCTTCATCCCCTTCTTAGACAAGGATTTTCTTTAGTGCTTTTTCACTCTTCTCGGCTGGCTCCTTACCGACATCATTTAGGACCTCTATGTCCTCGTCTTTGATTTTTGCCTTCTCCAGTTCTCGGATGCTGCAGGTGGACTTCATTGCTACCATGGAGCAATTTTTTGCCTGTAGTTGATCTCTTCTGACTTCTTCAATCCCATGTTCTGTTGGGAACTGTAATAGTTAATGCAATGTTGAGGGAACTGCCCCTATTGCATGCAACTATGGCCTCTCCAAGATGATGTTGTAAGGAGATAGTGTGTCGATGATAGTGAATTCTGTTGTAATCTTCCTGGTGCCAGCCTACACCTCCAAGCTTATTGCTCCCAGTGGCCATATCGGTGCTCCATTGATCCCAACCAATGGGTTATTGGATTGCTCCATATCGTCTGGGTGAAGGCCGAGCTCCTTGAAACATCAGACGTACATGATGCACAAGAGCTGCCTTGGTCAATCAGGATCTGCTTTACTTGGCATTCCCCAACCTGGAGGGATACTACCAAGGCATCATTATGCGAATGCCGCACCATCTCAAGGTCGGCTTCAGAAAAGGACACTACTGGTCCTTGGTTCTCCTCTGCCCGATGTCTCTTCTCCCCGACTTGGTAGACATGCTGCAAGTACCTCACCTTCTGGGTTTCCCCCTTGATTTCGTTCTCGTTAACCTTTGAATGAATTACGTTAATTACCCGAGGTCCCCCTGCCTGAGGTTGCTGTGCTGGGGGAGGTGGTGCTGCGGGCGTCTGAGGCAATCTTGCATGTTCCTCCCTTGTTCTGGCCTCATCGACAAGGTCCCTCAAGTGGCCTTGCCTTACCAGGTCTTCTAAGTGTGCTTTTAGGGCTCTGCAGTCCTGAGTCGTGTGCTCGTCTTCATTGTGGTAGGCACAACGCCTGCCAAGGTTCCTCTCCATAAATTCTCCTAGTGCCCTTACTGGTGTTCAGAAATAAGGTTGATTCCGAATTTGATCCAGGATTTTGTGAATTGGGCTTCGGAACACAGTTGTTACTACTTGTTTAGCCCTCAGTTTTGTCTCTTGCTTGCTGGATCCATTGTTACCTCGGCCTCGCTTCGGCGAGCTGTTTCCTTTCTCGTGTTTTGTCTCCTTATTCCCCGACGTATCTTCCTCGGCTCTAGCGTACTTCTCGATTCTGGCCATGAGTTCCTCCATACTTTTTGGCAATGTCTTTGCCAATGACTTCCATACTGGACAGTCATCTTTCAAGCTGTTCTTGAAAGATACGACTGCGACCTCTTGATTACATTCAAGTATTCGGTTGAACACCTCATAGTATCTTTTGGCGTAGGCCCTAAGGCCTTCATCTTTGCTGATCTTCAGAGCCATCAATGCGTCCACCCTCAGTGGCTGTAGCTTGTTTGTCACGAACCTGGCCACAAACATCTCGGCCAGGCCATCCCCAGTCTTCACGCTTCCTTTTGGTAGTTTGTGGAACCAATCTGATGCAATCTCCCCGAAGGATGAGGGGAACACTTTGTAGAGCAACGGCGTGTTCCCACTATACAATGCCATTGAATTCAGGTATAATCCAACATGAAAGTTGGGATCTGACTTACCATCATATATTTGGAACCTCGGCATACTGAATCTCTTCGGTGCCTCAAACTTGTCCAATTCCACCGAGAATGGTGTCCTTGGCTTAATAGGGGAAGTTACCTCGGTTTCGGCATTCTGCTACTTCTTCTTGAGGTAGTCTCTCAAGTCTTCTTTACTCCTCCCTAGAGTTCAGCTATCTTTTGACTTCAGTCTTTTCGGCATACTACTCTCGGCCTCGTGGTGGGCCCGTTTTGATCTTTCTCCATGGGTTGCGTCAAAACACAATGCCTGCCCTTGAACATGACAATGGTCTTTGGGGTCTGCGTCCTTTGTGTGATATGTCCTTCGGGATTCTTCTCTTCTCGGCTCCCCTCGCCCAATTTCCCTGGGAGGCCGGTGAGAGTGCCTCTCGCTCCTGGTACGTTGGGGGCTTCTGGGATTGCTTTCTGCCCTTTCTTCTGGGCATTGGCCGCTGGCATCGGCGTGTCCTGCAATGGGTATGGTGGCTGCATGACGTTGTTTTGCATCATAAAATTGATGAACGATTGCAGGTCTGTTAATTTGTTTGCCATCTCTTTCACCTCTTCGTCCCTTCGTAGGCACCTGTCCTTTCATACCTGGAGGTCCACTTCGTTGTAGTACCCACTTCGATCGGGTTTCTTTGGTACGTCGCCAGTCTGGCCGACGTCTTTTACTCCGTCTCCTTGCTCATGAGTTTCTGCATTAGACCTGTCTCCTTCGACATCAAGGTCAATAGGTCTCCCACTCCCAGCAGGAGTGTCGTCCCCAATCTTTTCCTTCTGTCCGCTACTGGCCATCTATTCTACTTTCTTTCCCACAGACGGCGCAAATTGTGTGGGTGAAAATCTGATCACACTGCCAACTTAGTATTCAGTTGGAGAGCACTAGCAGAATAGATGACACCTGTCTAAGCTGCAACAGAAAGGGAAGATTCCGGCGGTGGTTCGTCCACCCGGGGATACTCCGACGATCAAGTCAGTATATCTCTCAAAGATAATTCAAGTGCTTAAATCACTGTTCTCAATATAAATTGCGTACCTTAGACCCGTGGGGGTGCCTCTCTTTTATAGTTTAACTCAATCCTAGTCCCAGCAGAAGCTTGACTTCTATGGACTCCCATTCAGTACTTGCTTTGGACTCTACAGGAGATAAGGATAGACTCCCTAAGAGGGTTATCCCTATCCATCCTGAAGTCTTTCTTCATTCTAGGACTCTTGTCCCTTATCCGCTTATCTCGGACTCCGATATCTTCAGAGACAACATCGGCCTAGACGAGATCATCTCGGCATCATGACCAAGACACGTGGCACCTCGGCTAACACGTTGACGTCACCTTGGCCACGTGTTGGTACTCGGAAAATATATCCCCACATTTTGTTTTCCTTCTTTATGTTTTCCCAAATTTTCTTGGCATTAATCCACTCATTTGGTGTCCACCAATAAACAAATGATTCGAGTGATTCTTACAATTTGTAGATAAGGTGATAGGTATGGTTGTGAAATTCTTTTACACTGATACTCATTACCAATAAGATGTGAAGAATCGGACAGGAGTACTATATTTCACTTGGTTTAATAAACTTTCCTCTTCATCATGATTTGAAATTTTATTTTATGTTGGTTTCCTACAATGTTGTGAATTCTATTCTTGTTATTTTTAGGTTAGTACCAATATATAGCGCAAGTATAGTGGACCAGTCAATATCTGGTTGTCTCTCTTGTATGCCATGTATCATAAAAAAGGAGAGTTGCATTGTATGCTGAATGAACGTCCACGCAAAAGCTATATTACAATGGCACAACACATGAGCCAGTGGATTTGGTATGTATGCTTTCATATCTACTTCGTAAGCAAAGGGAAGAAAAGGAAGGTTAAAACCATCCTTGTTTTTTTGTTAAATGAAATGTTGTTTGGCCTACATAGATGTTCATCTTATCATACTATGGTGTTGTTTGGGGCAGCTTATGCGAGCTGTTTTTAACTTTTTTATTTTTTTTGTTTTTTTTTGGGAGTCTACATCTTATTAACCAGAAATAACTTAACTAAACTGAAAAAAAATAAAAATAAAAAGATTATCTGAAAGTTAGGGCGAGGGTGTTTTTGGCTTATGCTTTCTAATTATTAGTTTTTAACTAACAATAAGTTGCACTAAACAAGCCCTATATCTATGCTGTAATTCTTTGGACAACTCTTAAATGTGAAATTTCAACTAAAGGGTTCACAAGACATTTCTATTTTATTGTACTTTATTTTATTTCTTAACTGATATTGATGTCTGTTCTGCAGGTTCCGCAAGCTTTTTGTGCTGTTTTTTGTGCTGAAGAAGATCAACTTGTAGGTGCATGGGATGGGATATACTGGCTAGTAGGTGCATGGGATGGGATACACTGGACAAAGTAACTAATGACTTGTGGAGTAAATCTCGTAGTTTCCCATAGATTCTCCTTACATATTCTCGAATTTTAATCTAATTTTGAATAAATTTGGTTAAATATTTAGGACCCATCTCAACAAGATGAATGGTAGTCAATATTTAATTGGTGTGATATGCTGGTTCATCTGGAAGTCCAGGAATTCGTTCATATTTTGATGAAAAACAGCCTTTTGGAAAATTTGGTGTTTTGTGGGATTTCGATGAGGGAGTGATTGCTATGGGGTCGTCTTCTAGCTGGCAAACCGCACCAAGCAAAAGTATCTATGAGGATTCTATAAAATCTTTTGATGAAGCTATTATTCCCCACTTTGGTGCCTTCTCCTTTACCCCTAAGCTTTAAGCCTTTGCTGGTGAAAGATTTCCCTCCCAGAGAAATAGGGGTTGTTAATGATTGTTTCTCTCTATTATAATTTTGTGGCTAAAGAACAGAATTTTGTTGTTACTTAACAAAGCAGTTCAGATTGGGTGATTCTATTACAGTGAAGTACTTATTTTGTATTTCATTTTCACTTTATCTTTTGCATGTCATTCATACTTTGGGCATGTTATGACCTCAGGAGGGCATGCCATGACAGGAGAGAATGCGGCATGTTAATTGAGTAATGAATATGGCCAATTGATCAAAACCTCATTCTTTGGAAATCAAATTGCACTTCATTGAAATGGATGAGAAAACTGAACTCGTCATTGAGTTCGGCATGTTTTTATATATTTTTATTTTTATAAGAATAAAATTTTCCTTCATAAAATTAACCGTATACTTGCAAAGAGAGTTTACCATACAATCTGAAGTTGAATGACACATCCTCCAATTCCTCCATCTGCTTATCTTCTGGCTTTTACATCTTCAATGGATGATATGATAAGTAACAAAAGCATCCAAGTTATAATATTCATAATAAACTAATGCCATAGATTAGGAACTCAATGTCCAGAGCAACAATGAGTTATTTTTCAGATCATCACAATTTTATTTGTCCAAATCTGAATTCAAAACTTCCCAACAAAAGTATCCCAATGAGATGACCAAGGCCACTAGAACTCAAATCATTTACGCTTCAAAACCAAAAACAGTTGGCTTCCAATCTTGAGGCTTGCTTCAAACTGGGAGGAAATCACTGCGGATTTATTGAGAGTACGTTCAAACAATTCTTCAACGATCTTTTTGCCAAAGTGTTTGGTGAACACTGCTTCAAAGCCAGCTCTAAGGTGCATTATTAATGCTGGTATGTTAATTGATGCTCCATCTGTCTTTGCTGCGGGATTAGTTAACTCCATCCTCTCTATGCTGAAACACCCATTTTTTTCTACTAGCTGATTCATCTCATCGGGCGAAGGAGAATACAAAGGCAAGTTGAAGGAGTCCAGTTCATCTTCACTAATTGATCCCTACAACAAAGACTAACCATTGGTTACACTCCTATCTCACACAAGTAAATCAAAATGGGACACAAGCTTATTAAAGAAGCGAAGATTCATTATGTGATTTTGTTCACAAATATCCCTGCCAATTTAGTATAACAGGTAGTTAGGGAAAAAAAGAAAAGAAAAAAACTTTTGAATTGATAATTATTGAATCTAAAACTAAGACAAAAACTAATCTCCTCTCTTTGAATAATAGTTAAATTTGATCATTCTAAGTGATCCTAGGTTTTGTTGCTTCCACAAATTTCATATGAATAAAGCACATGATGATGACTTACCGCTTTCACCATATCAACAAGACTTTGCTCAAGAGCGAGGAATAGGACACCGACTGGGTGATGAGCATGATCGTGCATGTTTGGAAGAGCTGGCAAGGTCACTATCATCATCCCTCCCACTTCAATCTCATCAGCTCTGGCGTTAAAAAAGGTCTCCATGTCCTTGGCAAATTGAGTTGTATAAGCATTAATAACCCAACAGAACAACCCAAATCTGCAATTCGGATAGTGTTTGAACTGAAACTGAGGCTTGTTATGTCAAACTTGTCAACAATTGCATCTTTGATCATTTCCTTTACAGAATCTGAAGCTGTTCTCTGCAAAAAAATAAACCAAATGTGTATGTTATTCATGTTTTTTGTTTATCATTACTATAATGAATGATTGGTGCATTTTAAGTTTGCTTTAGTTAAAAACATAAGATCTACTTGAAAATTAATCAATGGAGTCATATTTGCTGAACAACTTTGTTATCTTTTCATGACATCACTATGCCGAGATATGAATTAATGAAATTTCTAAGTATTGAAACAAAACCAAAAAAATAAAATAAAAAATCAACTGTCTCAAAATCTGTCTTGGTGATTCCATATATAAATAAATACATATATATTTTATATTAGAAAAATGAATTTAAGGTTAATTTTACCAACTCACCTTTCATTGGGTCCCATATAATGTACTTAACTGCCCAATGTGGATGAAATATAACATAAAGGCAATATTGAGCTAATTTAGAAATTTAAAGGACTTAATTGAATGAAAATTAAGTTCAAAGGTTAGATTGAAAAAGATGTAAAATTCTAAGGCTTCTGGCATAAAATTAAAAAATCACGTGACATTAAACTTATATTCATTCATAACTACATGCAACTCTTGAAATTATAAATATTATTATTATTATTTTTTTTTTTGGTACATAACATGAATCAACTATTAACCTGTACAAAAGAAATACCTGATACTGAGAATTTTTTGTGTAACTGTAGGTGCCATCTCCACCATTCATAGGAAATGCTTTTGATTCCATGACTATGTCACCGCTCATCGTTCTTCCTTTTCCTCTGTCAAGTAAACTGAAGAGTCCTTGGTTTATATACAAGGTCATATATACACATTTATAAATACACATGTATGTGGCCACATCACAAGAATAAAATAGATACATGACTAATCATACTGCTTATAAGCGGATAATGGGAAAGTACATAAAATCAATAAACCGGAATAAGTCTGAAAACCAACTAAGTAAAGAACATATGTTGACAACCTACATAATACCAAATAATTCAAACCTTAAGTCCCATGGGATCGGCTACATAAATCATTATTCTCTACTCGACTCTATCAAAGACTATTTAGTTAGTCAAATTAAGAAAATTCATATCTCTATTTACATTGACAACCTACATAATCCAACACTTTTTTCAAATCTAATCCAATGTGTATCATTTTTCTATATTAGCCCAAGACAATATCAAGTCCTCCAAAATGTCCCAATTTTTCTATACTTTGATATTTTTTCATACTAACATTTACTAACTAAAAATGGTGATATGTCTCCAAATCTATCCAGGAATACACTTTTTAGAGAATTAAAACCCTAACTTAATATTTAATAATTTTCAATCTCATGCAAATCATATATATCAACCAAAGTTCATTAAATATTATGAATGGAACACTTTTAGGGTGTGTTTGTTTGGACGGATTGGATAAGCGGACTGTAATCCATCGGACTGTTAGTCTTGTGATATATTGTCTTCGGACTATTTGGTTGGACTGGATTTATATCCTATGTTTGTTTAGTCATGAGATTAAGGAGTCTTTTGGGAACATACCAAAAAAGTTAGCTTTTTGCCAAAAAAGCCACCAAAAAAACCAAAAGCCCAAAAAGTCAACTTTTTACCAACTTTCCAAAACATCATTAGATGTTTAGATTGGACTATTTTTAGTTAATCTAATGTTTGATTGGACGGACTGGATAAGGATAAATGTTCAAAAGACTATTTTACCCTTGTAATTTATAATTTTTATTTAATATGTAATTTTAAATTTGTAATCTATAATTTATAATTTAACAACACTAATTTTTTTTTAATTTATAAGGCCATAATTTTTAATTTATTATTTTTAATTAAAAATTTAATTCATAATTTATAATTTATATTTTTTATTTAATATATAATTTTAAATTAACAACACTAAAAAACTAATTTTTAAATGTTTAAAAGATTATTTTACCATTTTCTAATTGTTTATTAAGTAATAATATGAGGTAAAATGAACATTTCACACATTAATTCTATAGGATACCAATTCCCATAGAAATAATCCCACCCCTCCCCCTAGGATACAATAATCCATTATAAGAGGGACTAATAGTCCGAAGGGACTATTAATCTGAAGCAAAAAAAATTGAACCAAATAATAGACTATTAGTTCGGATGGACTAATAGTCCAATCCTATGAAATAATCCCTCAAAACAAATATACTCTTGGGGTTTTAATCTGAAAACAACCATCTAACTCAAACATATAATTTTAGGCATGAACATTACATATCTTGTGATTTTCTCAAGAAAATTTAAGTAGAATGAAGGAGAGAATGTATTCAACATGTATTCTTTTAACTAAAACAACAAATAATGGAAATAAATCAATACATGTAACACAACTCTTATTAAACCTAGACATGAGTTTTAATACAATAATATGGAGAAGAAAAACTCACCTCTTAAAGCTTTTAAACAAAAAAATGCAACAGGGGATGATATGGAGACATGGATTTGTGACTCTCCCAATGTACAAAGTCTATATACAAAATGGTTTTTTATATACAAAATGGATCATAGGGAAACCAAATGAAATTGGGTTTAATATTTTTAATACACACTACAAAGTAGCCACGCGTTTCATGCGCCTTTGTTTGTTGTATACTCTTAACACCAGTTGATGATTGTGGCTCTTCTTTTTTGTTTGGATGCAGTTTATTAAAATTATTTTTCATTTTTTTTATTTGGAAAGCCAAATTATTTTGAATAATTTCTGTTTATATCTTATTAGAAAAAAATAATTTAAATAAATTTTAAAAAAATTTATTTTTAAAAATTGGATTTGGAATCGGTTTGGAAACTTTACATTTTAATCCAAAAATAAAAAATTATTAAAAAAATAAAAGGTCAACAAATATTAAAAAATTAATTAATTAATTTTTTTCATTCATTTTACTTTTTGGACCTGAAAATATCAAAATGGCTTATTAAAGTGAACTTTGATGATGATGTAAGATGTGTAACTAATGGTGTAAAGGTGAAGGCTAAAAGGGGGAAGTTGTTGGTTGGTCCAAGAATAATGTCACGTGGTGTTTTATGTGCATTGTGATTAGTGAAAGATGTGAGATTCATGATTTTATATTGAGTGATTAAAAAATATAAAGAGATATGGTGATTTAATTTGTGATTGATTAGAGCAATTAATAATTTTTCATATAAAAAAAAAAAGGTAAGAATTTACTTAGACGAGAGAGGGAGTAAAATCAGCCATTAAAGTGGGGGTAAAGATGTAATTTTACCTCCTAGGGGTTTTAGTCCCTGTCACTCCCAATTTTTGTGTAAAAATAATACAATTTTAAATCTTTTTCTGTACAATTAAATTCTCAATTTTTCAGAATAATTTTAAATATTATGTACCAAGTCTGGAGAGTTCATCTCCCAAATTTTAAATTGAATCGGGCCTTGGTACATGTAAATCAAGATATTTATACACTAAAATCCTTAAGTCACTAGAATGACTTTAAAATTAACTTAATATACTCTATTAACATCAGAATAACATATACGGAATTTGAAATTATCTCTTGAATCTTGAATTGAATCAATCTCGGATAAAATTGAGGTTGTGCAACTCTTAAGGTGTCGTTTGGTAACACTTACGTTTTCAGTTTTCTATTTATATTTACAAAAATTTTAAAAACTCAAATAAAAACTTGTTTGGTAAAATTTTTGATTTATAAATCAGTAGTCTCAGTTTATAAATTTGGCCAAAAAATGAAAACACAAAAAATGTGTTTCCATTTTGAGTTTTCATTTTTTTTTTCCCCCCCAACACTAGCCACCACCGGCCACCATTTTCCACCACCGTTTTCCGCCACCACCACCCACCACCCACCCCCCACCACCACCTGCCACCACTACTCACCACCCATCTGCCACCACCACCCACCACCCGCCACCACCACCCATCTGCCACCCACCACCCATCACCACCACCACCCACCACCCATTTGCTATCCACCCGTCACCACCCACAACCCGCCACTACCATCCACCGCCCGCCACTACCACCCGCTTTTTTAATCCCGCCACCACCACTCACCCACCCACCCACTTGCCACCACTAGCCACTTGGCACCTACCCACCACCACCACCCGCCACCCACCTACCTACCACCACCCATCTGCCACCCACCTGCCACCACCACCCACCACCCACCACCACCACCACTCGCTACCACCTACCACCCGCCACCGTCACCGTCACCCACCCACACACCGTCACCGTCACCACCTACTACCACACACCCGCCCACCTACCTGCCATCGCCACCGACCACCGACCACCACCACCACCACTACCCACTCGCTATCACCCACCACCTGCCACCATCACCCATCCATCCACCACCACCACCACCCGCTGCCACCACCACCCACCTGCCACCACTACCCGCCACCACCACCCACCATCCGCCACCCACCTGCCACCACCACCCACTCGCTACCACCCACCACCTGCCGCCGTTACCCACCCACCCGCAACCTGCCACCACCAGCTACCCACCACCCACCGTCACCACTTTCCACAACCGTCTTCCGCTGCCACTTGCCATTTCTCACTCTTTTTTATATTTTAAATTTTTTTTAAACATTTTGTCAATTACCAAACGCGTTTGTAGTTTATGTTTTTCTAAAAATAAATAAAAAATAAACAAAAACCAGTTTATAAAATTTTTATAAATATAAACTAAAAACATAAACGTTACCAAACACACCCTAAACAATTAAGATGATTCTAAATTATCAAAATGCAATATATTAATTGAAATATCATCCGCCTCTTAATGCACACAAATCAAGATGATGAATTTCTTAAAAAAATTAACTAACGGAAGTCTAAACTAAAGTGATAAGAATATTATGAGGCTATATTTGATTCACAAGATTAATAGTAAAGGTATTAATAATCACATCAAATTTGTGTGACATTATCTAATTGGATTAGTATGATAAATTGTCACATTGTCCCTTGTTTAATTTCTATTGGATAATAAAACATATGAATGTAAGATTATAACTATATTTATTTATTTATTCCCCCCCCCTAATTTAATCCTCTAGCAAGGTTTCTTCACAATCTTTACTTTATCAAAATTTCTTCATAAATGTGGTCTTGAAAAAAATTAAAAATAAATAAACAAAAACAAAATAAAAATACAAAGACCATGTTTGTTTTTTTTTTAAATTATTTTTTTTAAAATATAAACTAATTTGATAAAATAAATATCAAAAAGTATTTTCAAAATTTTAAAAATTATTTTTAGCCTTCTAAAATATAAAATTATATAAAAATAATAAGTGTTTTAATTTTTAGTCGAGGGTAAATGAATCTTTTTATTTTATTTCCTAGCTCAGGATATATAATCCCACCCCTATCCCATTACTAATAGTCCTACAAATTTGTTAGATTAATTATCTGTAACGCCCCCAAAAAATTATAACATCATATAAGTACGTCAACCAACGTTCATTATAAGAAAAGATGTAATTATTCAACCTTTACATCATTGATCATTTCGGCTTGTACAAAATAGTTCCACATGCGAATTATACATTCAATGATATTAAATACATGAATCTATAGCATGTAGAACATCAAATCCAAAAATAAATAAATGCCCTAAAGGGCTTACAAATTCTAAGGATTAAGCCCGGTTACACAAAAATGGTCTCTCGGACCCACACAATTATAATCCTTGGCTAGCAAAAATACATCACAACAAAAGAGGAGCCATATGCTCTTAACAAATATGTCCACGCCCTAATTCGGTGGAATTGCCACATCCTTTCCTGCACCAAAATCCCATAGGTGTGAGCATAAAGCCCAGTAGGAAATTCTTAACAAAGTATATACATTTTATACAAGCTTTACAAACTAAAATGCATATGCCATGCTATGCCTTTTTAAAGCAAAATCACATTTACATCTTTTGAAAAACTAACATGCTCCATGATAACTTGAAATCTCCACAATTCAAAATTTATCAATTTAATTCAAGGGGGGCGGTAAACACGACTCAGGTAATCTCTAGGTTGGTGTCTGCAAGTAGGCATAGCTAGCACTACCAAATCCCCACTTCACCGGTAGTTAACCAGAAGGCACGTGGTACCTCCTCCGCGCGTGTTTTCAGTCTTTCACCTCGGACATTCAGGCCAATTTAAAACAATTTCATCTACACCTCATATCCAGACTTACCAACGTATTTACCGCAAAACATTTCAATAAATCTCATTATACAATATTTGTTTCTCAATGCAAAGTTTCAAATCCCAATTCAATCTTTATAACAAGCAAAGTATTGAAATGCCAATGCAACAATTATCAATGTAATACAATACTCTCCCATTTTTAATTCTTCCACACAACTCAATTATGGTAATAATGATTTCCATTTCCTTTTTAATGTAATTTCACAAGACCACTATATATCTATAAAGATTCATCTTTAGTAACAACATTACCTCACTTCATGTTTTCTTAACAAATTAGTCACTTCAAGACTATATTTACAACTTCAACAATACATCCCCAAAATCCATCCTTTCTCATATTCAACAAAATTTACCATTTTACACAGAATCAATTAAGAAATTTCCCAAATCATTCATTCATTATGGCATACTAACAAGTAAATAAAAAAAAGTTTCATAGATTCTCAACCCTTTTTGAAATCTCAAATTTCTAGGTTTTTGACAAAAATAGGCATCTCTTTATCTTTGTGAAAAGCAACCCACCCAAAGTCCCTTTTCTCACACAATGTTGTTGAAACTTTGAAGAAATAGTTTGGAAAGAGTCAAAAGTTAAACCCATTCTTACAACTTCTATCCTCATTGAACCAAAGACCAAAATTTTCTTAATATTATCAAGGAAGCTCCAAAAAACAACACAAATCTTGCAAAAACATATATATGACTCTAAGAAAATCCCTACCTCAATCTCGTTGAAAGAAAAGAGATGAAAGCCCTAAATTCGACGGTGTTGAAATCCGATCTCCACTGCACAAGATGAAGCCCTCTGTTAGTTCTTCAAATTTTGTGAAGGATGATGGGTCAAAATGCTAATGGATTTGGAGAGATCAAAGATCTCGTGATGTTTTTGGTGAGAAATGTAGAGAGAAGGAAGAGTAATGCGTTTTTATGTAACGCCCCGAAATAATATGACATGAACTACTCACAAGTAATCAACATTCACGCAACAATAACAACAATCTGCCCATCTTTTCATAATTAATAATGTGTCTTTACAAAGGTTTTACATGCGGGTATACATTCATCGATACAAAACATATGAATCTATAGCATGTAAAGCATCCATTCTCAAGACAACACAACGCCCTTAAGGGTTTACATCTTCCAAGGCATAAGCCTGGTTACACAAAAATGGTTTCTATAACCCATACACATTAGCCCTTGGCTCAAAAGAATTACACAAAATAAAAGAGCTATGTACTCTTCTCAAAATATCCACGCCATCAGTTTGGCAGGATCACCACATCTTTACCTGCACCAAAATCCCATAGGGGTGAGCATAAAGCCCAGTAGAGT